TTCAGCCTGGGACTGAAGGGTCCCGGGTTCCATTCAGTCAAGACACATGCCTGGGTTTCGGGCTCCATCCCCAGTGGGAGGTGTGCAGGAGGCAGCTGATCGATGTTTCTCTCTCATCGATGTTTCTAACTCTCTATCCCTCTCCTTTCCTCTCTGTAAACATATATAGATATATATGTGTGTTTTTTTAAGGAAGAAAATGTCATAGTGTGTGCACATATAGATATATGCGTGAATACCTACAATATCAGCCACCACTACAGGGAGAGACATGAAGCCACAATGTTCCCGGAGAGCAAAGGCGAGGCCGACATTGCCAGCTGGTTGCCCTGTCACCATCCGCTTCCTCTCATCCCTGGATAACAGAACCCCAACTTTATTTGGGGTGCGGATGCGTCCGGCGCGGAGACGGCTTCCCAGCCCACCTCAAGGGCCAGACTCCGGCCGAGGAGATGTCAACACAGTGGTGTGTGGAATGTCAGCGCAGGCCGCTTGACGCACGCTGACTCCCCGGGAAGGTATGTTCCTCTCGGCCTTCCTCCCCCTCCTCTGCATGGCTGTCAGCCTGAGGGCTGGAGCGCCGGTGGCCACGGTGGACCTTGAGGCGACCTTGAGGACGGGAGGCGCAGGCCAGTGCGACCGAGCAGGACGGAGGGCCTGGGAGCCACAATACCAGCCTGAGAGGCCTGGTTACCAGCTGCTTTTCTATGAAAGAAAAACCCAGCGATGACAACAAAGCCCTCTCTCTCTTCTAAAGCACTTTGGAAACCATTTAGTTTTGTTCTGTACAACCTATTCCAAGCAAGGCGGCTCCTTTGCTAGGGCTGCCGGAACGAAGAACCACAGCCCTGGCCGGCTTGGCTTAGAGCAGTGGTTCTCAGCCTTCCTGATGCCGCGACCCTTGAATACAGCTCCTCATACTGTGGTGACCCCCAACCATGAAATTATTTTCGTGGCTACTTCATCACTGTCATGTTGCTACTGTGATGAATCGTCATGTAAATATCTGATATACAGGATGGATTTTCATGGTTACAAACTGAACATCATGAAAGCATCGTGATTGATCACAGAAACAATATGTAATTATATATGTGTTTTCCAATGGTCTTAGGCGACTCGACCCCTGTGAAAGGGTCGTTCATCCCCCCAAAGGGGTCGCGACCCCCAGGTTGAGAACCGCTGGCTTAGTGGATAGAGCGTCGGCCTGTGGACTGACGGGTCCCGGGTTTGATTCCCATCAAGGGCACATGCCTGGGTTGCAGGCTCTATCCCCAGTGTGGGGCATGGAGGAGGCAGCCAATCTATGATTCTCTCTCATCATTAATGTTTCTATCTCTCTCTCTCTCTCCCTCCTTAACTGAAATCAATAAAAATATATTGGGGAAAAAAATAAACAATCCAATAAAAATTGGCAAAAGAATCCATGAAAATATGTTTCTGTAAAGACTTGGAAGATCCTGGGGTTATTTCAATGCAACACTTACAAAAAACAACAACAAACTACAACAGACCGGGTGGCTTAAGAATGTTCACGTAAAAAACCATGGAAACCTGTACAGAATTTTTGGGAGTTTGTTTGAGCCAAACTGTCGACAATTGCCGGGAAGCAGAACCTCAAGGGATTGGGATAAAGCTCCGGAGAATGGGGGTTCCATCTTGCTGGGGTCCAATCCCAGCGGGTCCAGGGGTCCCCAAAGGTGTGGACGGAGTCGGCGAAGAAGGAATGACACTAAGACAGCCTTCAGTTGATCAGCAGCCCAGTCAGGACCTCTAGCCAGGATCTCCAGCCAAAGTTCAGGTCGGAGTTCTGGTTAGGAACTGATCAGGATCTGATGTTTATTGTCTTGTTACATCCGTATTTATACCAGCCGATTTTAATCCTGTCAATTTCTATTACAAAGGTTAGGGCGTTTCTTATCTCCATTCCAGGGAGTAAAGATTATGTAGCTTAACTACCCGCCTGGCACTTAATTAAGGGGTTGTATCCCCTCCCTAACCTCAGGGAAAGATCCCCACCTGGGGAAACAACCTTTCTCGGAGAGGTGACCTTGGTTAAAACACATGGCACTAAAGAGAGCAAACATATTAAGAACAATATGCTATATACGCCAGGTCCCTTGAAACATATGCTGTGCAGATGTTTCTTTCCTGCAGCGACTGTGTCAAGCAGCAAGGATGGACCGGTTCCCGGCACCATCTGTGTTTATACGTTGCAATCAAAGGAGGGACGTAGGTGAGTGACATGAAATCCATTGGGGATGGATGAGGGAGGCGGGAGCAAGCAAAGTGGGGGGGGGAGCCCCTGGGATTGGATAAAAGGTAAAATGATGGACACATGCTTAGGTGGGAGCAGGAACAATGAACATGACAATGAGGGGATCTGCGGTCTCCGTCCTGCGCCCAGCACATTAGGCTGTGCCCCAAGGGGTCCGGAAAAGGGACGTTACCAGGTACCCAGACATTTCAAGGGTGTGTTACCACAGAGGCAAAAAGACAGACAGGCTCCGTGAAGGCAAAGGCTGCCCTTGTCAGGGAAGATACCGGCCCAGGAGGTGACTCCCCACCACCACTGCTTCTCGTTCAAGTTTAACGTCAGACCCTCCTGTGTGGTGACCTTAGGTCTCTGAGTTTTGCAAGGCCGCCCGCAGGCCTCCCCTGAGCTGTCAGGTCAGCACGTGGCCCCTTTCATCCACGAGCCACAAAAATGTGTTTTCTCGCTGTCCTGGAGGCCAGAAGCTCCTGATCAAGGTGTGGGCGGGACTGGCTTCTTCTCAGACCTCGCTCCTGGGCTTGCAGATAGATGGCTGTCTCCTCCCTGTGTCTTCTCATGTCTCCCCATCCATGACAACAGCCAATCTCCTCTTCTTTTTTTTTAAAAAATATATATTTTATTGATTTTTTACAGAGAGGAAGGGAAAGGGATAGAGAGTTAGAAACATCGATGAGAGAGAAACATCCATCAGCTGCCTCCTGCACACCCCCTATTGGGGATGTGCCCACAACCAAGGTCCATGCCCCTGACCAGAATCGAACCTGGGACCCTTCAGTCCGCAGGCCGACGCTCTATCCACTGAGCCACACTGGTTAGGGCCCAATCTCCTCTTCTTATGAAGGCGCTGGTCCGGCCCAACTGGCATGGCTCCATGGTTGGGTGCCTACCTAGGTCACTGTCGATTCCCGGTCAAGGGCACATGCCTGGATTGGCGGCTGGATCCCCAGTAAGCGGGGAGCCGGAGGCAGCCGATCCATGATTCTCTCTCCGCATTGATGTTTCTCTCTCTCCTTCCCTCCCCTCTCGAAAATCAATAAAAACAATACTTTTTAAAAGAGAGACACTTGGGGCCTTGTTGGGTGATGTAAAAGGAATAAAATAAAGGTAGCGGATAGTGGGGTGGCAGGGTTGGTGAGCCTCTTTAATTGGGTTCGTTGCACTGTCCCCAGTGCTTAGAACAGTACCTGGTGCACTACAGGCACTCGATAAAGGTTTGCCCAGTGAATCCTGATGATGTATTTACTGAAAGAGTCCGAGATACCGTTAGGGGCGCAGTTAGACACGCGGCCCCTGCCATCCTCTCCCTCCTGGGTGGTCGTGGGGGTGCCGTGCCTCAGTTTCCCCGGCCCTAAAACGGGATCTGAAGGCGCCGTTCCTGTGCTGGTCACGTGAGCTCGGTGCCCTTAGGGGTAGTCCTTAAGCCAGTGATGGCGAACCTACGACACGCGTGTCAGAGGTGACCCGCGAACTCATTTTTTTGGTTGATTTTTCTTTGTTAAATGGCATTTAAATATATAAAATAAATATCAAAAATATGTCTTTGTTTTACTGTGGTTGCAAAGATCAAAAAATGTCTATATGTGACACGGCGCCAGAGTTAAGTTAGGGTTTTCAAAATGCTGCACGCCGAGCTCAAAAGGTTCGCCGTCACTGCCTTAAGCCAATGCCCGTGGGCGCGGCTCAGACTGAGCTTGGCCTCCTGCCTGGCCCTGCGGGCGGCCCCTTCGGCCCCATCAGGCCCCGCCCCCGGTGGGCGGAGCCACGCCAGACCGGCATCCTGGCCCGCCCCTAGGCCCCCATCAGGCCCCGGCCCCCCGGGGGGCGGAGGCCCCCCCAAAAACCCGCCCTTGTGGCCCCGCCCCTTAGGCCCCCAATAAGGCCCCCCCCCCCGGGGGGGGGAAACCCCCCCAAAACCCCCCCTGGGGGCCCCCCCCCTAGGCCCCAATTGGGGCCCCCCCCCCGGGGGGGGGGGCCCCCCCCAAAAACCCCAATTTGGGCCCCCCCCCTGGGCCCAATATGGGGCCCCCCCCCCGGGGGGGGGGGGCGCCCAAAAAACCCAATTTG